TCTCTAATATATAAAAGTAACATTTTCGTGATTAATGTCAGTTCCCAAGATAGTTAATTTATGTTTTGTTAAAGGTGCGTAATATATTTTCCTGTTTATTTGAAAAGTTTCAGAAAAGTAGTTAACTGATTTCATGTAATTTGTGACAAAGGAAATCGAAATATATGAATACATATATTTGATATAGGAATAAAAAAATAATCGAAAAAAATATAAAAAGCGAAAGAAGGTACTGACCTTCTAGTGCACAAGAGCGAATGTTTGAAGCAGAGAATGATGATGGAAGTTATAAGCAATAAGAATGATGTTGTAGGAGAAGGTTTGAAGAAAAGAAACGATTGAAAATAAGTGTGAGCCGCAGATTCAAGGATGAATCGTATATGTATGTGATAATTTAAATATGATTTTTTGGTATTACTGATTTCCTAATAAAAGTAGATTTTATATTAATGGTTTACTAATATAAACGGATTTATATTAATGGTTGATATTAATGTCTTGATTGAAATGGTTTGTTAGTAATATGCTAAAATTGACCATATTAAAATCTTCATAACCGGAAATTGAAGATTTAAAATATGAAAAACTTTTATTGGAATTAAATACATTCCATTTCAACGAATGTAAGTTATTGTTTGACGATTGGAAAATATTTATTGGAATAAAATACATTCCATATGAGGAATATGATGTCAGCAATTTGATCTAAGGGTGGAAATAAGATTGAAATACAATCAATGGTCCAGATTATTTAAGATGATGTCATAAGGTTTCTCTTTTAATAATATTTAGAGATTCAAACTACTTATTTAGATTTTCAATCATAAATTTTATCAGATAATATTCGTTACAAATTCGAACGAAAAAAATCATTTTATTTTTATCAACGCAATCTACTATAATAAATGAAGATCCATTTTGCCACGTGTCAATCTCTCATGAGTTTTGATACTTGTCATTTTATGATATTTTAAAAATAAATAATATCCACATGATTTTTTCAATTTTTAAAATTAAAAAGCCACATAATACTTATACTTACATATATAAACTATTAGATGTAATAAATGTGATAGTAAATTGCAATTAATAACTTTCTTTATTTCTTATTTCGAAATTTTATTTTAAAAAATACCTATTGTTTACACTTTGTTATTTAATATTTTTCTAATCAACCCGTGTAATATACGGGTCTTACACCTAATAAAATAAAATAAGGTCATCCTTAATGGGGTTTTATGAAGAGTTTAATGAGCAAAAAAATGAGGATGTGTCATTGAATACATTAAGATTAGTGGGTGTGAATAATATGTTAAGGCATGTTATCACATTCAAAAGTTATCACATCACATGTTATGTCATATATGATGTTATAACACCTAATGAGGAAATGGACAACATGTTAGCATATAAAGAATGAATTTAATTTTGCTAGGCGTATGATGAGTTGTCATATAAAGTCACACATGACTTTATTTGATACACCAACCCTCATGTGCCTAATTGTAATGTATCGTGTTACGCCTCATTGCAAAGGAAAGAGAAAATGAGATTATACCTTGTGACCCTTGAACGAGCCGTTTGCAATTTTTTTAACATTTAAATTATACCTATAAATACTATTAAATCTCAACCACAACACACAATTTTCACTTCCTTTTCTCTTTACTACTATCTCAAAAATAGATCAAAATCAGAACACTCCAAACATCTAAAAATGATGAATAACTCGTCATCTTCATCTGATGACGATGATATATATTTTCACTCGTTGATGGAAGAGGTCGTTACGTTGATGGGTCAAGAATGTGAAAGTTCAAACACCATCAAGAGGACTAGTGAAACGTCCTAAAATTAAGACCAATAATTTTCGTCTTCAAATTAATAAAACTATCATCCACAACATCATTATAAAACCATGGTGGAACAAAGTGTATCAACTACATCATAAAACATCAGAGTAATCATAAAATGCGGAATGAGATGGTGTGTGCACTGCAATCATCATGGGCTCTTCCCCTTCGAACCAGAAGTACCTGAAACATAAACTGAAAATCGTAAGCATAAATCTTAGTAAGTTCCTCAAAATACCACATAACAAACACATAATGGGCCCCGCCCGGCATTAGGCCCTGCCTGGCATTGGGCCCCGCTCGGTAAACAGAAATGTTAGTCACCAGGCCCCGCCCGGTATACATATAAACATATAAACATATAATCATATAACACATGCAATAATCACAAAGATAAATAGCATACAGGATAGTCATCGGGCCCTGCCCAGTAAGCATACAAGCACATAACACATGCAAGAGTCACACAGAAATCTAGCATCCGAACAAAACAACCGTGGGCCAACATTGGTGCCTTCGACCCGCTAAACACAATGAGGAAACTCACCTCTAGCTGCTGAACACTCAAATGAATCTCTGTCTACTAATCCGGAAAATCACTGCACTATCATCATCAAAATAACATCCAATTACTAATTGGATCTCGACCCATATCCAAGAATCTAAGCTACTTAGTCTATAACCAGGGTAAAAGACCACTTTACCCTTTTTATAACTTGGCCCAAAGCCAAGCCCCGATTCAATTACTCAAAAGGCCCAAATCCTAAATGGCAACCCAATCTTCCAAATTGGGCTCAAAACCCATCATGGGCCTAAATCCAAGGAATCCCAACATACTAGTCAAAAGTCCAAAACAGAACTCTAATGGCCCAACAAAGCATAAACTTAGAAACCCAAACAATGGACGCACATACATCGGATTATAACAAAACTTACTTTCTTTTTTTCATTTAATTTTTTTTAGGCTGTGTTTTTTATCGAAAAAAAACTCGAATATACCATTGTTCATGATTTGTCTTTCTCTTTCCATGGAGATACATATTGATATACAAAAAATGAATTTTTTTTTTCAGAAAAAAACTCATTTCATTTCTTTGTTTTTTGGAAAGTTAATGCCTATTTTTTATCGAA